GTGGAAGGTGTCCCTGCCCATGGCAGGGGGGTTGGAACTAGATGATCTTTGAGGTCCCTTCCAACCCAAACCATTCCATGATTCCATGATTCTATGACTTGAGACAACAAAATTGGGACCGGGACACCAGCCATGGCTTCGACTGGGCAGCTCTGTACAGCCAGACACAGCCAGGACGGCAGAGGGCCGGGTGCAGGACACCTCGGGGGCTGAGGCACACAAAAAAAAGGTTCAAGGCTGTAAATATCTCTTCTGTGTGAGCAACCACCTGTGCAAACAGCTTGAATTCAGGATGGCAAGTCACTTATGTCCATTCATTTATGTAAATTAGGAGCTTTCCAGAACTGGAGTGTTAAGGCTGGTTTAGCTATTACCTCCCAATTATTATTAATTTCAGCTACTTCAATCATTCAGCTCTGCATAACAGCTTGGATCCAAGCGTATCCAGACACCAGTGAAAACCGATTAGAAATATTAACAAAAAATCCGCCACAAAAAAAAAATATAGAAAAGTCCTATTAATCATGTTAAAGAATTTCTTCCACTCTGTTTAGAAGAGCAGCTGATGTCAGTTTTGAAGTGAATTAAACTGCCCAAAAGGAAAAAATTAACAAGCTCTTTAGGCTCAAATCACAGCCCAACGCCTGTGCAAAATCTCTGCTGATACTTCCAGCAGATCAACACACAAAAATTCTCCAGCAAACAGTGCCATGTTCATCTCAGATAGTCCCATTTTCTCAAAAGGATCACATTAGGATCCAGGAAGACCAAAATACTTGGCCTTTGCTTCCCAAAGCTTGCTAAATCTAAAATAAACCTACCGTTTGGTGTCGTAAAGACTGTGGTTCACCAGAGAAAGCACCTCAAACCCCAGCTCCTCTCCCAGACGTCGTATGTTGGCCTCCATCTCCTTATAAAACGGTTCCATCTCCGCATCCAGAGTCACTTGCGTGATATTCCACTTCTGGACGTGGTCCCTAAGAACAGCCTCATACTCTCCTTGAATAACCAGCAAGCAAGAGCCCAGCTGACACAAATTCTTCCGGAGATCTTCCAGGGACTGCAGCAGAAAATGCCACCGCAGGGCACCTATGTGCATCGCGGTCGTCATGAACTTTCTGTCCAGGATGTAGACAGGGTAGACGGTCTCCGAAGACTCCAGCGCGGCCAGCAGCGTTGGGTTGTCATGAAGCCGAAGTCCCTTCCGGAAAAGGTGAATGGTGTGATGTGGCATCCTGGCTTTCCTTATCGGATCTGCCAAAAGAGGAAGGGAACGGTCGGCTTTGGGGATGCAGGATCTCTATTAATGAACAAGGTCAATTAACAATTGGAGACAGAGCTCCAGACAGCCCTCAGCAATTTTTACCGCAAACGACTTCTGCTTTTTGATAAGTTCTCGTGAGAGAGAAAAGCAGAAACAGGATCAAACCTCGCTCCTCAGCCATGTCCCACCATCCCGCAGCTGTATCACCACCGTGCCCCTCAGAGAAGGGCTTCTTCCTCAAACGACTCACTCAAGTCCATAAATTAAATCCCTAAATTAAATTACATCCCAACAGTGCTCACCAGAAGGAAGGAATCAAAACGGACAGAGCTGCCAGAGCTCCATTTACTGCGGAAACATTTTATAACCCCACAGACGTGGCCATCTGTCCTGGTTTTGACTGGGACAGAGTTGCTTTCTCTTTTTAGCAGCTGGAAGGGCTCTGGGGTTTGGTTTTAGTCTGAGATTCACTATGAGAAGAACGCTGACAGCGCCCTGATGCCTGTAGTTGGTGCTGAGACCTCAAGGACTTTTCAGCTTCCCATGTTTTGCCTGCGTCTCTCCGGGCACATGAGAAGCTGTGGCTGCCCCATCCCTGGCAGTGTTCAAGGCCAGGTTGGATGAGGCTTTGGGCAACGTGGTGTAGTGGAGGGTGTCCCTGCCCATGGCAGGGGGTTGGAACTGGATGATCTTTGAGGTCCCTTCCAACCCAAACCGTTCTATGATTCTGTGATTCTAAGACTGTTGAGGCTTCAAGTTGAAACAAGGGAAAGCAAAGCACAGCCCAATCAACTCCAACACAACAGCAGAGTATCTCAATTCAGCAGTTTGCCACAGTTTTTATCCATCTTTCCTAGCCCCAGGAGACCTCGTGGTGCTTCTAAGTGACAGAAGAAGCCCTCCTCTCTCCGTAGCGGAGCTGGGTGGTGATAATTGCAAAAAACTACTCTTTTTTCTAAGCTGAGGCTGATGTAGGGGTTAGCCCACATTCATTCCCCTTTGCACTGCTTCAGCTGAGCGTAGAGGACAGGCAGGAGGGCTCATCTTGGCTCTCAGTCTGGGATAGCTCAGGGCAGAGCCTGAGAAGCTGCCCCACAACTGCTGGCTGCTCTGCTCACGGGTGATGGACCCACAGCATTCGGGAACGACGAGCCCAGCTGCCACCTTGTGTTTGTACCAGAACCAGCAACGTCTCCCAGTTTGCCCTCTCCCACATAGAAGCAGGGAAGCTCAACGCTCACCTCCGAGGTGGGTCCACGCCTGCTTCTGATTCAAGCGTTACCACGCGGAGACGTATTAAGAGATTAGGGATCAGCAAAGAAGCAAACAATAATCTCTAATCCGGTTCAGCTCTTCCAGCCGAACTGCTCCACTCACACCCTCCCAAACGGCTGCAATAGGTGACTCGGCCCCTTGTCCCCGCTCAACCCACGATCAAGAGCTTTACCAGCCTCGTAAGGGATGACCTCACTTGTCCTGTTCCCAAAAACACTCATCAGCACCACCAAGACAAACCCAGTTGCACTCCCAGGATGTGACACCACCCCCCCAGTAAGCAAACCCCACAAACTCACGAGCGCTGGGCAGCACCGTGCCCAGCTGAGCACGGGGGTTTGGACTTTGTGGGGTGCTCTGCCTTGCCCCCTGGCTTGGGCACCGCCCTGCCCGCGTGTCCTGGGAGAACAGGAAAAACAGGGTGCCTGTGTTGCTCAGGAGAGCACCCAGCTGGCACTTTTGGGTAGCAAACCATGCAAAGGGTGCTGGAAAAGTCCCCTGCATCCCATGGCAGGGGCACAGGAGCAGCCTGCACCTGCTGGCTGCATCAAGGGGCTGCCCCTAGTCGGGGGCTCCAAGGCCCCCCACAGCCTTTGGGGCCGTCCCAAGCCCTCTGGCCCCATGCGACCCGCAGGGCCACCCTGAGTCCAGGGCATTGCAGCCCCATAAAGCCCACAGGATCACCCCAACTCTCCAGTGCCTCTCGGCCCCACACAGCCTAGAAGACTGCTCTGAGCCCAGGGCTGTGCAGCCCCACACAGCCTATGGGGCCTCCCCATATAGCCCATGGGAACGCTGCCATCTCCCAGGGCAGGGGGGCACCAGGCCAGGGCTAGAAGGGGCCAGGGTGGGCTGTGGGACTGGGGTTAGGGGCAGCTCTGGGGATCCCAGCACAGGGGACTGGGCAAATCAGAGCTGGCAGGGAGCAGGGGTTCCATTAAAAGGGGCTGGAGCACACTGGGGAGGGACTGAGCCCATAGCCAAGGGGGTGTCAGGGCTGGGTGGGGAGCTGGGTGGGAAGGCACAGGGAGGGATCGCTGGTGATGGGTGGTGTCGGGAAGGAGGTGGGGGCTCAGCACCAAGGGACTGCACCCTCAGAAGCTCCTGCCCTGCTGGGAGGAAGGGGAAGATCCTCTGGGGTGATGGGGGAAGGCAGAGCAGGCTCTGTCTGTCGATGGATTTTGTGTTAGGATTTATCCACCATCACTGTTCTGCCTCTCCATGAACTGGTGACTTGAGGCCGTTCACCCAGCACGGCCAGGCAGAATCCCTGCCACTGTGGGAGGGGTACACCGCGACACAAAGCAGGGAAAACCTCAAATCAGACCACTGGGCCTTGCCTCGAGGGTTACCTGGCTGACGTTCCAGGGTCTTTACAACAGGTCACCCCGAGAAGAGGAGGCCACACAACTGTGGCTCACGGCTCTCCCGCTGATGAGCATTTCTCTCCGCAGGCAGAGATGTGCCAGAGGGATGCAGCGGTCATCAGTGTCGCCATCCGAATCCAGCTGTGCTGCTCCCCTTCCTGCAGGCATTGAGAAATGAGTTATTTGAACCTAAATACCATCAGTATGGCATCGAGGTGGCTTCTGCATCAAAGCCAGTTTGAGCAACTCGAGACTTTTGTGTCATTCCCAAGAGAGGAGGAGGAGGAGGAGGATCGCAGCCGGCTCGCTGCTCTCTGGTCCACCACCCCTCGGAGCCGGCAGAGCAAGATGGGGCACGCAGGGAGCGGGGCCCATGAGCTAAGAAGGAAAAGTTTTAACAGTTTCATTCCCTCTGCAGGCACTCCCGACTGTCCCGTCAAGTCAAACCACGGATGTTCTCCTTGGAACCTGCCCACTCCGAAGTGACAACAACGCAATTATAAAGCTTTAGATACACGTGGCAGCCAGCTGGAAAAGCAGCCCCGGGATTGTCCTCTGGAACTGCCGTTTGGGCTTTCCAGGTGCAAGAACCGTCACTGTTAAGTTGCTTAACAGCGTTCTACAGGCTCGAGAACAATTCCTGAATCGGGCTTCAGGAAGAATCCCAATTTTTTGCCTTCATTTGGTTCCATACCCAGCCTCCACACACCCAGACCCGCGGCTGCTACTGATCCCACGTCTCTGCGTTATTTCTCACTTGACACAAGAAAACGACGTTTTAAGAGCCCCAAACCCCCCCGCGCGCAGGGGCTCGGCCGGCTCTTACCGCTCCGCGGTTCGGGGGGACGGGACGAGGACGGGCGCGGAGGAGGAGGCGGCCCCTCCGCCGGCCTCGCACCCACGGTCCGCCTTTTACCTCCTTCCCCGCGGCCTG